TCGCCAAGTGTCGCGCCACATTGGATAGATTTAAATAGAAGTTGGTTTATAATTCTATTTGGATAGAATTTTAGGATAAAATTGTTAATTTAGAGTTTTATTATCAATAAAATATCTAATATAATGGATACATGTCAATTAGGGTTGGATCATGAAACATCTCGAATTTGGTCACTTCAGGTTATGAGTCAAGAAATGTTCATCCCTTGCCCAAAGTTTTGGGTTCGGGTCAATCCGACATACTTTGAACATTTATTTTATTTAGTTTATTTTTTGCTATTTTTTTTTAATTATTTTTAATGTATGAAAGCAAACATTTTCACCAACATTATTATTAGTCATTACATGCTTACTAGATAGCAAATCGTCAGAAAATCACATAAACTCCTAACTAATTTTGTAGCAATGATATATTTTAAATTTTAACGTCGCATAGATTATAAATTTATCCTAAAATTCAATAAACGACCAAGGCATCGCACGGGGCACTAAACTAGTATATATATAAAGGGGAGTTTTTCCCCGAGTTTTTAGAGAGTCACGTAGGATTTAATTTTCTTAGCGCGCCATGTAGGATTATGAATTTAAGTAGTAGCCAATTAATTAAGAGATTATTAATTTCTTTTACAATTAAATAATTCAAATGCCACGTAAGCAAAATTAGCAAATGAAATTTTAAAGTTTAAATTAATTAAATACAATATATTATCTTTTGATATTAGGAATTTTATCTGATATTCTAAAACTAATATAATAACAATTTTAATCACATAAATATGAAAAATATTTTTTAAATAAAAATACTGACAAACCGTGCATCGCACGGGATTTTTAATTTATTTTACAATTAAATAATTCAAATGCCACGTTAGCAAAATTGACGAATGAAATTTTAAAGTTTAAATTAATTAAATATAAAATATTATCTTTTGAGATTAGAAACTTTATCTAATATTTTAAAGCTAATATAATATGTAGTAACAAAAATCACATAAATATGAAAAATATTTTTTAAAAAAAATACTAACAAACCGTGCATCGCACGGGCTTCATCTAGTACATTACAATTTTACAAATTTTCTTTATTAACACAAAATTATAGAGAGTTGAGCGTACACAAACAAGATAGTCTGATCTAGCCTAGTTTGATATGAATTTTTTTTCTCTAATATGGCATGATTAATTTCAATCAAATAAGAATAAGTAATAACTTGCTTAAATAAGTAAACTGACAAGAGAATAGATAAATAGTAACTTGGCGAGAAAGGTGTTGACAAAAGAATCTAGATTAGAGGATTTGAAAGCTGCCAGAAAAGACCACATATTGCCTATAAAAGGCAAGCCAAAGTCACCCGGTGGCAAACTATCCCCAAGTTTTGATTCATGCACCCAACCATGAACTTTTCTTAACACCAAATTTAGTACCCATAATAACCCCAAAGTAAAGATTGCCACCTTTGAAACAAAGTTGAATTCCATTTTTCTATCTCCGGATAGCTTTTTTAACACCTACACAAACCAAATAAATATAATCAACAACTAAACTTAATATATAATCTGATCCATCCAAAACTAATTGTCACATAATGATAGTTCTAATATGTGACAAATCTGACAATTAGTTTTCGACAGATGGTGTAAGCGTCTATATTACAAGTTTATGGAAAAACAAACAATGGTTACAATGCTTTTTTTATAAATAAATAAATAAATAAATAAATAATAAAAGAAAAGGAAAAAAAAAATGAGAGTGTGCATGCCTTTGAGAAATGATGAAATGAATATTGTTTTTGTGAATGTAAGTGAATAGTATTGGGGGTTTATATTGATGATGAAGCAAAGATTATGTGGTATGCTAGCTAGTTTTGTTTGATTTCTTTATTTCTTTTTTCTATCGTTTTTTTGTTTATTTGTTGCTCCCTCATATGTGGCTTGATTTTATAATTCATTTAGCTTGATTTGTTTCCTTTTTTGTTTGATTTATTTCCTAAGGATTAGCTTGATTTCTTTCCTTAAGTACTAAATTTTTTAATTAGTGGGTAGGTTTCAATTTGAATATGTTAAGGAGACAAATCTAAGAGATGTCAAGTTAGATATCAAATTGTCCAACTGTATTTAATTTTTTAGATATCTAGGAAGCATGACATTCTTATTGTTTTTGATTTTTGGATGGATTCAATACACATGTTGTATCACCCCAAATAATGTACATCAATTAAGATGGCTGACATCCATGCTCACATGTCATTTAAGGCTAGGTTCTGATTACTTGATCTGATTTTTAAATTTGACGAAACTTTGACCTTATTTGTAAACTACTTATACTATTTCTATTTACCTGATTTTTTACTAATTTGAATTTGTCTAAACTTATTTGAACTCATTTGACTTTAAAAATTAATTTTAATTTAGTTTGTAGACACCAAAAAATGTCTCCCCGACTGAAACCTGATGATAAGTAAAACCTTTCACCGCCATTTGGTTCGAGTAAGTATGTATTGAAAGAAATTAAAGGAACACTTGATTCTTGCTTAGAAATCCATACAATTTTTATCTTTTCCCTGTTTTATTCTTGTATATACTGTAGCTTTTTTAGGGTTACGGGCACTGTTTTCTCCTCACATTCTCTATCATATTCTTCTTCTCTTAAACTCTTATCTCATAAATCTTTCACAATTCCTCCTTCAAGTGTTCCTAGACATCAATACTTTACCCAAACCTCTATCAACGGTCCACGCCTCCACGTCGTGAAAAGGTTGATGATAAACTCTGAGGGTTCGTTTCTATCTAAACTCAATTTAATTTGTTTTAGCAAATTTTGATTTATATATTTTATTAAATTTTAAAAATCTTGTATTCATGATATAGTTGCATTGTAAGGTTTCACAATCGAAGTAACTAGATTTAATTATTGTTTCATTTAATTTATTCTACGAGTTATGTTCTTGCTAGCATCATGTTTAGGGAACTAATAATTACTATTAGTATCATATTTAGGTGTTGTATTAATCTTGTTAGTATCATGCTTAGGATTTTGTTAATAATTATTTAGTATCATGTTTATGATGCTTTTAATTCGTTCTCTAATTACTATAGCATTAGCATTGCTTAGCTTCCAATTCCATTATGCACTCTTATTAAATTTATTTAATTTATTCTATTGCTTTGATCACCTATATTGCATGTTTAATTGGGAATATGTAATTAAAAAACACGCCTATAAGATAATTTGGAAAACCTGTTTAGATTCCCATTAAATTAAAGAAAACATATCGAATTGAATTTAGATTGAAACCCCTTAGAGTTTTTTTTTATCAACCTTTCATGCCGTGGACCGCCAATAGAGCTTCGTGTGAAGCATTGATGTCTAGGAACACTTCAACGAGGAATTTTGAAAGGTTTAGAAGGATTTATGAAAGATTAAGCAAATAACAATATTAGAGTGAAGGTGAGCAAAAAACAATGTCCATAAACTTTGAAAGACTACGGTATTTACAGGAATAAAACGGGAAAAAAAGATAGAAATTGTATTTCCAAAACCACCAAACCATCGCGCCACATTAGCCACTATTGTGGCATGACATTTCTGTTGCTAAGCGACAAAGATTGTCGCGTCGCACCTTTTTAGCGCGCCGCGACAAAATTCTTGTTTTGCGGTTTTTATTTTTATCACGTGATTCTAAACTTGAATTATGGCAAATAATATATCGTTGGAAAGATCAGGTCAATATCTTTTCTGGATAAAAAAATATGGCCAAAATAGTGGAAGGATGTTGGTTTTGGATATAGTTTGGTATTTCGATCATATCTTTTTCTTTATATCTCGGAATTGTGCTTATGATATATCTCATTAAAAAAAATTATTTAAGGGTTATACAACCATGTAAGATTTGGATAAAAATGATGAGGCACAAAAATCAGATTTGCTCGGTTTCGGGACTGTAGTTATGAAATTAGCAATTTGGGCTAAGATATGTGGATTTTGGGCTATGAAAAGGGCTAGAATGGCTTGTGAAATGATAGAAAATAGAAATGGAATGGATTTCTAAGCAAGAATCAAGTGTTTCTTTCTTTCAATACTCTACTCGAACCAAATGGTGATAAAAGGTTTTACTCATCATCTAGGTTTTACACATTGCAAAAAAAAATCCTTTTTTTCGTGAATGAACAAAGCACATTGAGCTTGATTGTCACTTTGTTCGAGAGGAGTTTAATGAAGGCTTCATTTCACCTTCCCATGTTTTGACTTCTCAACTTGCGAACATTTTCGCAAAAGCTCTTGGCATAACCCAGTTTGACTTTTGACTTTTGACTTTTCAAGTTGGGCATTTTTTAGCTACATGCTCCAACTTGAGGGGGTATTGAGATAATATCGTATAATATATTTTGAGAATATCTTATGGTATATTTGTTTGGATATAGATTCGTGATATTATTATGTATTTTGGTGATTATCTTAGTTACCTAGTATATCATTTATTCTAGGGTTAGGAATATTGTAACTCTATATATTCTTTGATGAGCTAATGAGAAAGACAAGCCAAAGTTTATACAAATCTCTCTTCACTACAAAATTAAAGATGTTTTATGTTAAATCAACGCAAATAAAAATACTACCTCCATCAATGTTTACATGCAATAAAGGAGTATTTTCTGTCTTACAAAAAAATACCCCTTTGTTACATCTAAAAAGTAATGGAAGTAGTATTTGATTTGACATCTAATTATTGGGAAATTCCCTGTTTCTCATACTGAGAAATTTGTTTCTCATAGGGGTATTTTCGTGAATAAACCAGCAACTTTTTTCATTATTGTGGACTCCAAAATTGAATAAAGTTATTGGTTTATTTACGAAAATACCATGTGAGGAACAAATTTTGTTTCTCACTATGAGAATCTAGGGCATCCTCCTAATTATTTGTAGAATAAGCATATACATCGTAATTTAATACAACAAATTAAAATTTTAATTGCGACCCAATAATTTTTTCTCAAGGAGGTAGCCCATAAATGCATATTATTACTCCAACCAAATTGTTCAAAACATGAATTCATTACCAAATCCGAATAATAAAACAGTACTTAATAGGTTTTAGCTTAAACATCAGTCTTAAATAAATGTTACAACTCCTTGCTTTATTTTGTACATAACTTAAATGAAAGCAGCTCATATCTTTTTGACTCTAGCTAAGCAGGCATCCTTTGGTCTTCTATGAGGCAAGAACTGCACCGGGCACTCTGGATTAGTCCTTTCCAACCTACATAACATTTTTTTGCCACAAAATTAATTAAGCCCAATACATGATTCTAGGTGAAAAAAAACTATAAATCTATTCTAATTACCTGTAATTAAGGAGAAAATGATGGAGAAATATTGAAATTTCGAGTTTGGCGAGATCGTTTCCAGGACATAGCCTACTCCCAGCACCAAAGGGAAGGAAAGTCCCTGCTTTTGGAGCAAGGTCCTACAACATATATGTAGTATTTAGTCTTTGTGTGATACGGAGTACTTTCTCCGTCTTGTTTATTATATTCTTATTTCTAGCATTTATCCCTCATATAATAGAGAGAAGTAAGAATCTAAATAAGGGACGAAGGGAGTATGTCTTTATTATGAGCGGAGAATTAATTTAACTTACATCCCATCTGGAGGGATTGAACCTCATAGGCTCGGGCCAAACTTTGGGATCTAAATGGCAAGTCCTAAACCATGTCAACACTTTCCATCCTTTAGGAATAGTATAGCCTGTAAAATCAAACTTTCTTTTGTTAGGATTTAAATAAGTTTACAGTGTACAAGAAAAATGTGTTTTGAATCTCTTACTTACCATTTATCTTGAAGTCTGATATCGCCTCACGAAAAACTACGAATGAGAACGTCACCCACCTAAGCGTTTCATCTACGACCTTGATTTCGTAAAACAAATAGTTAGTTAGCTAAGAATACAATGCAAGCTCAAAGATAAGGTGAAATATCGGGAGGAATAAGTACTTCTTACCTGAGACAAATAAGTCATTTTTCTAGTTTCTTTCAGAGTCAGTCCTTTCTGTCCTGCAGGTCTATTCTTTATAATCTCTTCTTGCTCTGCCTGAAATTTGACGATTTGGTAAAGCATAGAATTGTGATTGATATCTATGTAGTTAATAATAAACGTGACAAAACTGACTCATATCCGATTACTCAAAAGTAAAATGTAAGATTTGAAGTGTTATAAATACCTTGGCTTTCTGTAAATATTCAGGGTTTTGCTGTAATAAGACAGTAGCCCACATAATGGTATGAGCAGATGATTCATGTCCTGCATTTAAATACATGATTAATAGATCTGTAATCTCTTCATTAGTCAACTTTCTCCCATTTTCATCTTCAACTTCAAGTAAATCATCCATCATATCTCTCTTGGCTTTGGTAGCAACACCATCTCTCTTAAGCGCCCTTCGTTCATCTATTGTAGCTTGAAACACTGCCACAAGGTTCTTCCGCGCCTAATCAAAATTTTCATCCGTAATCAAATACACTAGATTGGGAGGAATTAAATAAAGCAAGCATATTTGAAATACATACACAAAGAAATTATCTTGTACCTTAAGTGCCTTATGGTATGCAAATCCAGGGATATTAATGGCCATTGCTCTTACACCATGATTAAGCGTTGTGTACTCCTTTTCTAAAGCCTCCAAGATAGGCTCACTTTCGGAACTCAAAAAGATGTACATGATGATACGAAAAGTTAGCTTACGAAGTTGAGTGAGAAACTCGATTTCTCCCATTTTACTCAACTTATCCAAAGTAGCTATTGAGATATCTTCTATGTACTCTATGTAGTTTGATAGTGCTTCATGTCCATTGATAGGAGCCGCGGTTAATTTTCTAAGACGCTTGTGTTCTTCGAAGGGGATAGCAATAAAGGACTTCCTACCGATCAACTCGGTCGTTGAAAGTGGCCAGCCAGGCTTGAAATGCTCATCATCATTCAAGACTTTCCTGCATATCTCAGGTGTTGTAACAATTATGCTTGGACTACCAAACATGAATGCTTTGTAAATTCCTGTTTTGCCAAATCTGCACAATCAAATGTTATAATCAAATGTTACATATACAAGTAAAGTTAAATGTTCATACAATATCAATTCAAATTTCAATCCAGAGGAGAACAATCCCTTAATTTTGACGTATTTTTCTTTTTTTAAAAAAATAAATAAATCAATCAGGAAATTCAGTCTAGGACTGTAGGTGGGTTTAAGCCTATGTATACGAAATCAAAGTCATAAATGGGCCAGTCCACCAGCCATCATCAAGTCTTGATTGGGCTATTAAACAGGCATACTAGTACATGTGCATTTTTTTATATTTTTTTTTTTGGAATAGCGTATAATTTGCAAAAAAAATTTTTTTTTTTTTTTTTTGGAACAACAACAACAACTAGGGCTACTCATTGGTCCAAGACCGAACCGGACTAGACCAATTCGGACTGGATCGAAGGACGAAAATTAGAATTTTAAGAAATGAAGACCGGACCGATCAAGCTGGGATCGAACCCGAATTGAACCGAAAAAATTGGTCCTAACCCCGGACCAAACCGGTTTGGACCGTTTAAAGAATTTTTGTAAAAAACAATTCTAAATGATTAGTAATTTTTTGGAAAAGTTGAAAAAAGTAAAGAAAAACTATACTTTAACATTTTTTTTGTAGGTGTATAACAAAAAAGCTCATAAAATTAAAGCTTTCTAAGCTTATTAAGGATAATGTTAAATTAACCATTATTTAAGGTTTCATGCATAATTTTAAGGAAAAAATTAATTCGATCGTAAACCAGTTTTTATAGGGTTTTGGACCGGATCGAACCGAAGACCTACAAAAAAAATTTCTAGACCCAAAGACCGAACCGATTAATTCGGTCTGATCTAATCCAGGCCAGTCCATTTTTTAGGTCCGGGCCAATTTATGAACACCCCTAACAACAACAACAACAATAATAATTAAAAAAAATAGGTTGTCTATTAAATTAAATATACCATGTGCAAATTTTTTTCTTTGTCTTCATATATGACAAGCGGAAAATATTGTAGCTCATTTAGTGGCTAGATGGGATACGGGTTCCAGTGATGGATTTATTTGTACAAACTCTTTCCCCTAAAGTCTACAAACATTGGCGGCTCTAGACTTAATAAATTAATTTTATGTGTTCGTCTTCAAATTTTTTTTTTTAACACAAAATTATGAAGAATGGAATTAAACGCAAAATTATTAGGTTGATATGAATTTTTTTATTTAATATGACAGTATTGATATCATACTAATAAAAGCAAGTAATGGATTGCTTTAATAAAGTGACAAGAGAATAAATAAAGAGATAACCTGGTAAAAAAGGAGTTGAGAAAGGAGTCTGGATTAGAAGACTTAAAAGCGGCTAGGAAAGCCCACATGTTGCCTATGATAGGCAAGCCAAAGTCACCTGGTGGCAAACTATACCTCTTATTCCCAAGTTTTGATTCATGCACCCAACCATGAACTTTTCTTAGCACCAAATTTAGTACCCATAATAACCCCATAATGAAGATTGCCACCTTGGAAACAAAGTTAAAGTCCATCTTTCTATAACCTTTTTCAACACCTACACAAACCCAAAAAAAAATATAATTAATAGTTAAGCTTAATGTATAATCCGATCCCTCCATTCAATTCCGATTGTCACAAAATGATAAATCTAATACATGACAATTAATTTCGAACAAAAAGTATTGGCGTCTATATAACAAGTTATCATTTGAAAAGTAATGATGGTTACAATACTAAAACAAATATACCTTTGAGAAATGATGAAATGAATATAGTTTTTGTGATTGTAAATGAAAATAATGAAGGGGTTTATATTGATGGTGAAGCAAGGATTAGGTGGCATGCTGATTTTGTTTGTTTTTTTTTTTTTTCTTTTTTTATCCTCTCTTTGTTTATTTGTTGCTTCCTCATTGGTTGCTTGGTTTTATGATTTATTTGCTTGATTTGTTTCCCATTTTGTTTGATTTATTTTCTAAGGATTAGCTTGATCCTATCTGTTATTTCTTTCCTTAATTACTGAAAATTTTAATTAGTGGGAAGATTTCAATTTAATATTTTAAGGAAACAAATGAAAGAGATATCAAGTCATACATCCAACTGTCCTATTGCTGTTTTTGGATATCTAGAACCAGGACATTCCTACTGTATTTTTTCGATAGATTCAATCACATGTTGTATCACCCCCAAAAGATGTCATTAAATTCATATTAATGTGTTTCAAACAAATAATTTACAGTTTTTTTTAAGACTAAGAAACTAAAGATATTTAATGATAAATTTACGCAAATAAAAAAATATGATCTAATCTAATAATTTTTGGATCAAGCATATACATCGTACTTGTTTAGATAGGCCAAACTGAACATAACCTTAATATTGAGTGTTTACCTTAATGTGTAATTTAAGTGAACAACAATTGTTTTTGTTAGTCTACTGCCTTTGACACGTACCCAAGTCAGTGTCCGACACGATGTGGGTGGGTGGATACTCGACTATAGGGGGCTCGGACTGGTGAGGATGTAGCCTGTACGGGTGGCTAGCTGCCTAGCTGTAGCCTCCGTTGTCACTCATGTCTGCCTATAGGCCCTATACTCTATAGTAGCAACGATTGTTTAGTATAATTCCAATTAGTATTATAGTCGTTGAGTAAATTAGTATGTATAGAACTATTTACGCTAATAGAGTATCATAGCTTAACTGCTACGGAGTATTCGAGCTTTTTCAGGTCCTTTTTGTAAAATCACGTCATATCCTTAATTATACACAAACAAATAGAGTACTTTATTCCATTCAACTTTTTCACGCATAGTAAGTTAGTGACTGCATTATTGAATAAGAAATGGACCGACGCATTGACATTCCTAATTCTTAGCCTCATATAGTATACAGTACACCATATAAGCCATATTATCAGCCTGAGCAAAAGTACACAAGCAAAGAATGTAATACTCTGACTATTTTTAGTTGGAGAAGACCTTGCTTCATAATCAGATTACAGAACACAAGATCTACCAGAATATATTTGTAAAATTTGTTCTCACAAATTCACTCAATTGTTTGTTAAAATCTGAGCCTTAAGTGATTAATGTAAGTAGGGGTCTTAATCTGTCATGTTTGTGCTACTGATCCCTGCTTAGATCCTTCTGACTTTCGCCAAGCAGTTATCTTTCGGTCTTTTATGTGGTAAGTACTGCACGGCGCAGTCAGGGTTTACTACGTCCAGCCTGCAGAACATGGTCTTACTGTAAAAATCAAACATTGTGCATGACAACTATTCAAAATCTTAACAATCATCATAATCTGATACCTGTAATTGAGCAGAAAATAGTGAAGAAAAATCGATATTTCTAACTTGGCGAGATCATTTCCAGGGCACAGCCTGCTCCCAGCACCAAAAGGAAGAAAAGTTCCAGGTCTAGGAATAAGTCCCTATAGAATATACAAATTCAGTGTTGATCAACAAATTTTGTTGCACATATTTGGTAATGAAGGTAAAAGAAAAAAGAAAATGAACGAGTTTGAGTTTGTAACTTACATCCCATCTCGAAGGATTGAACTTCATAGGTTCTGGCCAGGTTTCAGGATCCAAGTGACAAGTTCTAAACCAAACCAATACTTTCCATCCTTTAGGAATTGTATAGCCTAAAATCATCCAAAATTTCATGTGTTAACTTCGATGCCAAAAACAAACTAAACCAAAACAAATCAAAACCAGAATGATTATGTAATGAGTAAATTTTGAGGACAGTATTTATATTCAAAAAGTTTTGAAGAGAAAAACAAAGGTTAAAGCTTTGATATGGTACAGACCATTCATCTTGACATCCGACAATGCTTCTCGGAAGACTACAAGTGAGAATGTTAACCACCGAAGTGTTTCATCTACTACCTTGATTTCACAGAGTATACACAATAAATTAGAAACACAAAGATAGCGGGAAAAGGAGACACAAGCACAATTTACATACCTGTGAAAGATAAGTCATCTGTCTGAATTCTTTCAGAGTCAATCTTTTCTGTCCTGCTGGCATATTTTTCACAATCTCTTCTTGCTCAGCCTGGAAAGTACAGTTTTTGAACAAGTAAAATTTGATTTATTTTCAGCACCTTCAATACCATCATGTTTCTGAAGTGAAGTTCAATTCCTTCAAGAGAAGTGCAAGCAGAGAAGAGTTGTTATACCTTGGCTTTCTGCATAAATTCAGGGTGTTTCTGCAACAAGACAGTAGCCCACATCAAGGTATGACCTGATGACTCGTGTCCAGCGTTCAAGTACATCACTAATAGATCAATGATCTCTTCATCTGTCAATTTTCTTCCATTCTCATCTTCAACCTCAAGCAAAGCATCCATCATATCTTTCTTGGCCTTGATAGCAACTCCATCCCTTTTTAGTGCCCTTCGTTCATCTATTATAGATTGAAACACGGCCACAAGTCTCTTTCGAGCCTAGTAAAATTCCAACATTTTTTTACTACCAAGTCAAAATTCAACTAAAGTGAAATATGGTGTTTAATGAAGTGTAGTTGTTAAGGTCAACTAATTTTTCCGAACAAGTTCTAAGTGAGCATGTATGATACGTTAGGAACAAAATCTATGTCAATCATACCTTGAGTGCTTCATGGTAAGCAAAACCAGGGATATTGATCGCCATAGCTCTAACACCGTAGTTAAGTCTTGTGTACTCTCTTTCTAATGCCTCTATTACAGGTTCACTCTCTGAGCTCAGAAAGATGTACATAATTATTCTGAAAGTCAACTTCCGAAGCTGTGTAAGAAACTCGATTTCTCCCATCATGCACCAATTTTCTAAAGCAGATTTCACAATGTCTTCTATATATTCAATGTATTCTGATAGAGCTTCGTGTCCATTGATGGGAGCAGAAGTCAACCTCCTTAGACGCTTATGCTCTTCATAGGAAATGGAAACGAAGGATTTAGCACCGATCAACTTCAAAGTCGAAACAGGCCAACCAGGCTTGAAATGTTCATCATCATTCAGCACTTTTCTACATGTTTCAGCTGTGGTAACAATAACACTTGGGTTGCCAAACATGAACGCTTTGTAAATTCCTGTCTTACCAAATCTGCTCAAACTTAATGTATCAGCTTACATTCATCATAATTAAGCTTCTATAAACTATAATCATGTATAATATAGAAAATATTTCTATAGTTTAAAGGTCATAACTCACAAGTATCATAAAGTTCAATCACACCATTTAAATATAAATCATTGATTAAGAAAGATGTCTCCCCCTCGATCTGTTTCAATGTATAGTCCATTTTGATATACGTAAATATAATAAGTTATTTAGCATTAGTTCGGAGGGATCCTAACTACATTCATGTCAAATAATCTTTTTCCCTAGTTAACATCAATCCTCTTATTGGATTGGTTGCCGTAGACTGTCCTTACACAACACCAAGTCATGGATTCGAGTAATTCTGGTTTAAGAATGTCAAGTTACGAAGCAATAGATGAGACAAACGCTTTCTAATCTAATAGTATAGATCATATAGATCAATACATCCAACTTTAAAATCTAAATCTGGCCTCAAAGATTTTATTGGTTCCCTATATAGGTGTTGGCATTTTGCACAATACAACTTAGAGTGGTCAGAAAAGTAGAGAGGCCCAAAGTAGCCAAAGTTATGAGTTTGATTCGAGGACCCATCAAAGGTTGTCGTCCAGTATGAAATTGCAACTTTTAGGATACTTTCCAATTTAACAAATTGATTGAAACCCAACATAAATTATAGCTGCACTGCACAAGTACACAACCCGACATAAAACTTTTGTTTACGACATTTTGAGGTTAAGGTATTGAGAGTTTGAGACGGCATCTTAAGATTGAATCTCGTTTACATCATTTGTCGTCCCTTGTGGCTTTCTCCCTAAAGACTACGCCTCATCACTCCTCGTCACACCACATCCAGTCCACACACAAAGTACAAAGCAAAATGACAAATTTTGTAGGAACAAATTTGTATTATGTTCTTGATTTATAAAAAGATTTGGACCTATTTTGTCCTTTACCCAAAAAGGGTGAAAATCAATGCTATAAATCTATTCTTATTTCTGTCTTGGTATTTGAGTATTTGGCTGAAATTGCAATTGCCAAACACAAACAAACGTGCAGATATATACACTTTACTCTTCACTTAATGTGATTCATACTTGTCTACATCCCTCAAGTTTTTGTTTACTTATTTTAAGTGAATTACTTCAAAATATTCTAACAACTAAATTAGAGATATACTTTATATTGTAAAATCTACTAAGGGCCTGTTCTGATTTATTGAAAACAATTTAACTGGACAGATTGGATCTAAACTGAACTGAATAGAGCTGAATTGAATTGTTTATGAGAGAAGAAAATTAATAACGGAACTGAATTGAGTTGAACAGAACTGAAATTAAATTGAAGAGAACAGGCCCAAAATCAGGTTATCTTCTTAACTTCCGGTGTTTCATTGTTTAATCGATTAACTTTGTTTTTTATATATAATATATGTTTACAAACATTCTTAAACAAGGTTACACGTAACTTAAACCCTATTCTTTTCTACAAATTTCTAGTTGCTTCCAAGTTCCAAGTACTTCTAAAGTTAGGTATATTTGTTTGTTCATTACAAATAACCAAAACCGATCAATAAATAAATTTCCTTGGATACACTTAGCTCGGGAATATGACATTGTCAATCTAAAATATACCCACTAAATTAAAGCAACCTTAATCAAAATAAAAACCAAAAAGTCACTCAAACCTCTTCTTAAAAGTTGCGCATTTTTACTAGATAAGACATGAGTCATAATTCATAACACCCTTAATCAACTTTAACCATAAAAATTGTTCCTAGTACCACATGAATTTTATTCTTATGGTTCATAGCTAGTAATGTACATGTACCTATGTTTAAGCAATGTCATTCATACCCACAAAATGGGTTTACCATATTTCCTAACAAAAATAATGAGTAACAATAATAATGCTTAAGAAATAAAATTAACAAAACCTCAAACACCATAAACTCATCTTAGATTATTATTATTTTTGTCAGATAAAGAACCCTACTGAACCGGCAATATTCATACTCGGAATATTTACAGCTATTACATTCATCAATAGTCATCATCGGAGTGACTTATTACGCGTCTCACCCATCAAAAAAACGATCAAACTAGTCTAACCCAAAACATGATACATTTCATATATCAATATCACAAAACAAAAACATGTAAAAAAACAGAGGAAGTGATAAAAAGAACCTGGTAAAGTAAGAGTTGAGGAAAGAATCAGGATTAGTAGACTTAAAAGCTCTGAGAAAAGACCACATATTTCCAATAAATGGCAAACCTAGATCACCTGGTGGTAATTCATGCTTCATATTTCCAAGTTTTGATTCATACACCCAATAATTTACTCTTCTCAGCAAGAAATTTAGTAACCAAATTACCCCAACTAATATTGAAATTGATACCATTGAAATCATACCCAACTCCATTTTTTTTTTTATAATTTATTGGTTTTATATCTTCAAAAATAAAAACATAAAAAAAAAATTATGTGTGAAAGAAACAAATTATATTATGAAGGAAAATTGTGGGTAATAATAAATAAGTTGAAATTTTGAAGTGGGTTTGATTGAAAAAAAAGGAGAGGTTGCTAGAATATGTTGGTGTAGTGTAAGAAAATCTGAAAATGTACTAAAAAAGGAAATAATTTAAGGGGGGAGAAGAAGGGGTTTTTAGTAAAAAAAGTAAAGATTTTCTTTTTTTTAAAGGCTAAATTCATTTCATGTATAGTCAATTGATGAAAAGTAATTTTGTTAATTTTTGTTGGATTGTGTTCAATGTTTTTTCTTTTCCATTTGTTTGGCCTTTTTTGGTTTGATGTTGGAGCATATTGTCTTTATGCATTCCCCTTATAATATTGTTTGTGTTGAAGTTAGAAAAACTTTGACATATACTAAGAATTATGATTTTAATAAGTATATAATGTCAACTTACATAACTTTTATTTTAAAAAATATGTTATATTCATTTAGAGTAGATTCAATTAATTAGATCGATCAAGTATCGTGAAAAGTAAGAAAATGTGATGGGTGTAAGAAAATGTGGACAAAGTGAAAGTAAGTACTCCGTATATATGTGGATAAATTGTAGGATAGATGATAACGGGAGGAAAAGATGAAATTAGGAGGTCAAGGAAAAAGGAACAAAAACTAAGGAAGATGCAAAAAGGGGAAAAAAAAAATTTGTAACGGAAAGCATTGAAAAACACATGTAGTAATCTGTAATTATAACGCAAGTGCACATATTTTAATAGCAACCTGGAAGAGGGGAAGGGGATTGGAAAGGAAAGGGAGGAAGGAGATGGAGCTCCATTTTCTTCCAAATCCCTACAATTTTAGAGGGGAAAGTGTAAGTTGAAGAGGGAAGAAAATGTATCCCTCCCTCCCCCTTCCCTTCCTACAACTCTTTATCTAAGCAAAGGGAAGGGATTTTCTCCCTTTCTTTTCCCTTCCCTTTCCTCATTTTCTTTCCATTTCCTACTATCAAAATTCAAAAATATAAATAAAAGATATATAAGGATTAAATATTATTCATAATTGTTAACTTAAAATTTTTAAAAGATATATAGGGATTAAATATTAAGTCGTTAATTAAAAATAAGTGATATACTCCTTTCCAATTTTATAAATTCTTCTCAAATGCAAAAGTCATATATGGGCCATAATTTTATCAAGATCAACATAGTCTTAGCAAGCAGCCCATGGACTAGCAAGTCAAACGATTTGAGATTTTGAGTCACATTTAAGGTGACATGTGAGTCATGTCGTGTCATGTTGTAGACGTTAAGACGTGTCATCGGAAATATGTGTGGCATGCTAGCATGACACATAGGCAGGCCCGGAATGACCGACGACCATACTTATCTTAAATCAAATCCAATCACAGACTTACTGTCAAACACTTTAATCCTCTCCATGGGACTTTATTTTCTCCACTTCATTACTGAAGGTGGAACAAGGCCTAGTACTCAATGCCCATCACAGGTCCATGAACCTACTTTGGTAGGGATTGAGAATCACTCTAACTTGATACACCATTCCACAATTATGCCTTTATTTCTCCACTTTATACAATCAGAATATTTTCAACTTTCCTAGCTACCAGATTTTCTCTTTTTACCAACTCCACAAAAAATAAAAAATTAAAAATTAAAATTAAAAATGTAAGTGTAAATTTGGATCAATCTGTTTTGGGCCTGATCGCGTAGCCCAATCTGATCTCGACACAAAAATCCCAGCCAGATCAGAACAAGGCCCAAACACGACCCATGATCAGCTCTAGCCTAGCTCCTTAGTTTGACAACTACATAGAATGTGTCCTCGTTTCCTGCTGGACTGCTGGTTTATATGGAGTTGTTAAGTCTACTGGTTTACTAGTTACTACCAAGGTAATCTTGTACATCGTTTACTGGTTGATGTGTTACGAGTACGAGTTGAGCTCAATGTTTTAGAAAACCTCATTAAAGCGAGCATTAAGCACTTCTTACTTGGTCTTATAGCTAGCTTAACAATACTAATAACAAAGTTGCTTAAAAGCATGCAGTCGCCTTTTATAAACAGAATTTTTGCATACTGAGTAGTGAATTGCTCACCAAATCCATTGAACCTGAGTTGTAGAGCCAAGAAATCTTGTTTGCAAGATTAAAGGTCTCAGACAGTATTTGTGGATTCGGAATTGTGACTGCAGTTTCTGTTCAGAACTTGGCAGTGCATTTCCTTGATTTACAAGAGATCACCTGAGCATTGATCATGAATACATAATTTCAAGTGGAGACATATACTAATATTACATTTGATTATTTGAAGCACAGAAGACAATCGAATCACTTGTGATTACCAGAACAAAGCAGGAAAACCCTGCCTTTTATGTATAGGCAATTAGCAGGTAACTTACAATATCCAACACATCAACATGTGAGATTAGTATTCTGTTTTCGGTCAGTTATTATAGACCTATATAATACACCATCTTGCAGCTAACTTTTAACTTGAGGTACCGAATCAGCATCAGGTGTTGGGTAGGACAATGAAATTAGTTCAGACCAATAGTCCACGGTACCATCCTTTTCATTTACTGTATTACCAACATAGGTGACCTTCTCTGAAGAATGAGGTGAATTAGGGAACTTATCAGGTGAATTAGAAATCTTATCAGGTAAAGAGTTTGATAAAGCGATGAGTGATTCCCGAGTTGAATCTGCAATACTATCCTTAGTAGGCATCTTCTCAGCCATCAAGTTTTGATACAGTAGTGCTTGTGCTGCAGACATTTCAATAGAACAGATCAGTCCAAGCTCAACCCTTGGTCAATTAACGGCGATGTTTAACCTTACAAAAACAAGTTTCAAGAAAGAAAAGTCAAGACTAGAGTTCAGAACAAGGATTAATAAAATCAGTTCAGCTTAGGTTGGATAAGAGCCAATTATTTAAGATAAGCTTTCATAGGGCCACCTAAGTTTAATCTTCAACTAAAATAAATTCAGTAAAGGAAAAAATAAGCTCAATCAAGGGCTAATCAGTTCAGATACAGGGTTCTATTGGTGAAAAGAATGAAACTTTGATTATAACATGTTCCAAATCTTCATCAAAGTGAAAAACAATGCTTGTTATTACAGTTGTTTCAGTCATTGTTTTCTTGTTAGTGCAACATTAAATCCAATCAGTATAGAATCTTCACAATTTTGCTTACTTTAGGTCACTTAAACAACAGCCTAAATCAAATGCTAGTTTATTGGGAATATAGATTAACAGTTGGAGCCTACAACCCTTGAATGGCTTAAGAAATCCGATGGAACATAATCGATGTTTATAGTGAACGATTATATTCCGGCCTATCTAGCATATAGACGCATGAATACGTATCACAGGCAAACAATGGATTATAGATAGCACAAATCTTTGACGGCACAAGATAGGCATAAAGATAAGATGCAGGCATACAGCCACTAAAACCACCCATTATTAGTCACAAGTTGTATAGATTTTACACACTAGTGTAAACAACAAAGCACTTTAAGAAACAACTTGCAGATACTAATTGATAAGTGCAGTTGAGAATGACAATTGACAACATCTAAGACAACCTTTGAGGTAATCTTACTATCATTCCAGCTCATGTATTGCCAAAAATAAACTCGGTATCATAAGCTTTACTACGACAGTGCAACCAATCACTTCACAGAAGTAGCCAACAATTGGCAATAATTCAGAAGTACATTGGAAGGGAAATTTTCTTTTTCTAATATCCGTTCATTAAGAAGAATCGATTGTAAATGTGATCAAATATCGACCATAAACTCTTAGACAAGATTATTAATTTATTATGCACATTATATACTAATTGAATCATAAGTCTTGTTGATCATATAACAATTTCTTGAATTTGACTCATTCAAAACCCACCAAACCCTTCAATATTCTTGGTGTGGTTGTGTCTCCTTCCTTACCAAATACTTTTACTTAAATGGAAAATACCCATTAGCTAAATGTGATAAAAACACCATAATATCATCCATCACCTCTTAGAAACAGAATTCATAAACTCCAATAATACACAAGTTTATACCCAAGACCTAACATTAAAAAAAACAAAAAAAAAAGGAGATAAAAAAAATCAACAATATTAGCACATCAACATATTAAACAGCAATATTCATTCAACAAATAACACATTTAAAAATAATGCAGCCATAAAAAACCCAAATAAGTTAAATCATTAAAAATCCTACATTTTTTCAATTATTTATCATAAATCTTGATTTCCTATTTGCAAACTAACTCAATGAGAAAAAGTTGTAATTTGTTCTTTTCTTTTAATCAATAAAGCAACAATTTCAATATTTGTTCATATATCATTAACAGAGGAAACTTTACACATTGCACATATTTCACTAACAATTTATACATTTTAGCATAATATGCACCAACAAAACAGAGAAAAAAATAGAACAAAAAATCAAAAGTAAAAAACAATAAAACCTCATGAATTTAGAAGAAAAATCAATCTTTTTGCAACCCCATTAAAGAGAAAGAAAGAAGGGTAAACATACCTGTAATAAAGGTCAATGAGAAGAACAGAGAAAGAGAGAAAGAAGAAGAAAAGAGGGGAATATGGTAAGGATTTTGAGGGGATTGGTTATTTGTAGCGTGGCACACGTGATTTTCTTCTAATTTTTCAATTTAGATAAATTGATTTTTTGGTCAAATATAGGCAAAATTTAATCAACTTGAATGAATAGTTTCCCATTTAAACAGCTAATTCTTGCTAATATTCTACTTGTATTAATTTTAATAAGGGATGGAAAAGTATCGTAGCTAAATAAAATGTCGTACTAGTCAAGTAGTCATCTTGGACCAGCTTAGCGAAATTGGGTATTTTCTATTTTGGAATTTTGGAGGAGAGTTAAGGGAAATATCTTGATTTTTAAAATGCCTCGTTAAAATTATAATAGGGTTTTATAAAAAAAAAATTGACATAATAACATACTCTCTTTGTTTTAAAATAATTGACATGCTCTATTAATCACATAATTATAAAATAATTAAAAGATAAATATATTTTTATAGTCTCAATTATTGAATAACTAAAAATAAATAGAGTATTAGTTATTCTGAAACGGAGTTAGTCATACTAATTTTACTATTAGGTCAAGCCTAATTGGATTTTAAAAATGACAAAATGCAAGTTGCAACATGCAAAGGTATTAGAAAGGACAAAAGTGTAATTAGACTTTCTATTTTAAAATTTGGTACGGCTTTGGACAGTTGAGCTCTGGATAAATTATTCTACTTTCCACGTAGATTCCAACAAGGATCCTTTGTTATTTTATGCGAGATTGTGATACGAGTGGGACCCAGTAATTGGGCAATTTTAGGAATAAAATAAATAAAGTTTGTAATTAAGCTAAGGCACGTGTTGGGATAATTGATTGGGCCGTACTTGAATGTAGGCCGTATTTGAATATGGGCCGTGGGTTATCCTAACAAGCCAATGGTATAAAATGGGCTGGTCCAAGATTACAATAAAAGACCACATGAATGTGTTAATATTTAGATTTTATTTTTTTGGTTTCAAAAATTTAGATTTTATTTTTTTTACAAGATCATTGTCTAGGTTGGGTTGTGGACTAGTGGTTAGAGCTCATGTTTTGATTTCAAGTGATCTTGAGATTGATTCTCATCACTCGTCCTTGTAGCTCTCTAATATAATTTCAATTCAGTAAAATTAATTTCAGTTCAATAAAATAAAGTGAAGTGAACGGGGCCAAAGAATCATACTACATCCGGTCCAAATTACTCGCAAATTTGGAATATTTATAAACCATCCCAAAGTGTAAGTACATTAGTACAAATTCATCTTCTCTTATATTGTCTATTTTCTTGTTTATAATGTGCACAAATCATGATGTCTTTCTACACTCCACAGTTTCAGAAGGTAGCTTGAATTTGCATAGTAGGAAAGCAATTTTAACCCACACTATGACAATATAAACTCCGTATTCGGTATATTAACATAACTAATACAGAGTATCTTTATTTTATTTACAACAAGAATTCCAATTTTTAGGCCCTGTTTACATCACCTTACAAAAAAATATATTAAGTAAAAATAGTTCAGTTCAGTAAAAATAATTTTAGTTCATTTAGTAACATTCAATATCTTAAAAGAAAAAATATAATAGAAAATCAGTAAAAATAATTTTATTTCAACAAAACTGATTTCAATTCAGTAAAATTAATTTCAGTCCAATAAAAATAATTTCATTTTAGCAAATATAATTTTAGTTCAGTAAAAATAATTTAAGTTCAACAAAAATAATTTTTGTTTAGTAAGAATAATTTCAGTTTAGCAAAAATGAGGTGAAGTGAATGGGGCATTAGTCCCTATTCCCTAAGTTTATACTTAAAAAGTATCCGTAAATGATCAATGATAATATTTTTGTAAATTACTCCGTATTTTTTTAAAAATTTTACCGGGTAGGACAGTCACAAATATTTATCAGAGAAATTAACTTTTCCTTACTTAAATTACTCCCTCCGTTTTAAAATGATAGTTCCATATGGAATCAATCAAATAAAATAAGAAAAGAAAAGAAGAATATTTGAAATCTAAATTAAAGTAAAAAACATTTTTTTTTTTGAAAGATTAAAGTAAAAAAAACAATTAATAAATAGTAAAAAACAATTTTACTTTTTTTTGAAAGATTAAAGTAAAAAAACAATATTTTTTTATTAATTGTATTTTTTTTAAAGTAAAAAAAATTAATAAATAGTTTTGCCTTTTTTTTTTGTAGGAAACTGTCAAGCATAATTGCATAAATCAAGGAAATAATTTCTTTACTTAGAGTCTTGTCATCAATTCACAATCAATTAATTTAACCAATTAGAATTTAATGCGTATAAAATAGGAAATAAAAATTAAGTTAAAAGTGAAATATATTCCATATGGATAGATTTTTTTGAAACGCCTAAAATAGTATATGAGACTAACAAATTGAAATGAAGGGAGTAATAATTTGTATAAATATTATAGAAAACATCAAGGTAATAGAAAATTACTTTAAAACTTAAAATATAACGTAGATGTTTATATTCCTTTATTTTTAAAACCACGATTAGAACATTTACTTGCCAAAATATGAATACGGTTTCCTTATTATACAGTAAATTTTTTTTTTTTTTTTTTTTTTGAACAACTATAAAGTTTCCACTAATTAGTACTCTGTAAATAATTATTACACTATGGCTTATAATATGCAATTTTGAAGATATACGACGAGATTCTGCTAATCTTCTTATGTTAAGTAATCCGAATTTCCTAATTTGACCGTATTTATTTCCTTGTATAAATAAGACAATTTAGTAATTAAGTAAATAAATTTAGGAAAGTTTAAGTTTCCTTACATTTTAAGTCGGTCGAGAACATGTACATTTTAGGCAATTAGGGTTGTAATAGTCTCTTATAAATAGGACTAACACATCAATTACTTTTTCATCTTCAACTTATTCTTACACATTTTGTCCTACAATTTCATCACACTAGTAGGAAAAAAAAAAATTAATACCAATAAATCTTACATTTAATTGTAAAATGGCAGAAAGTGAGTTTTTCATCATGTTGGTCGTTGTGATTGCGTTTTGGGTATTTATGCGTATAGCATTGCCGCCGTTCCCTGCTCCCGGTCCGTTTATGCTGTTCATCATTGCACTGATTTTCGTCGGCGGGATGCTGGGTTTCGTTTTCTTTACATCGTAATGATTAATGAGATGTTTGTTAACAATTTTAACAACAATGTAGGCAAAGATTGGTTGAGTTTCTTTCTATTATTATGGTTACGTTTAAGGGTAGGGCGGCAAATTAAATTTCGTTAGGATATTTTTTAAAATTTAGATTTTAGTATTTTTGTATTACGTAATTTTTCAATCTATCAATAAAATAAATATTGCATTTTATTATTATAACATTGTAGTTATTTCGTTTGAGTGTGTTTTAATTTATTCATAATATTATGTGTGATAGTTTCTTATATTCTTCCATCTCCTTGCTGTACTCGTATTTTTTTTTTTTTTTTTTGTACATTAACTATTTTTTTCAGCATGGTAATGCAATGTTATATGTCGTACTAAAATTGTTTCGGGGTTTTCTGATGTCCTGCGGGAGAGTTACAATTCCGAGACTGGAACCGGACGCTTGTACCTGCAAAACAAACGGATGCTCCGGATGATTGGAGATCCGCCTCCGACGGTCAAGTTAGTACTTGATTAAGGAGTAATTAATGCGGAAATTAAAGTGATTGGGTCTCTCTAGGTGAGAGAGTTTAATGTGTGTAATCTGCGTCCTCTCCCTTAATGAGGATTAAGGGAGGTATTTATAACCTAGGGAAACGTGCCAATCTAGGTTTAGGTTAACCTTGGGCTGATTGGGCTTCCCACGGAAGTTGGGCCTAGGTGACCGGTTATCCCAGGTGTCATGGGAAGGACACGTGTCGTGTCGTAATTGGTCCATAGTGGACAGATCATTGCTTGACACGTGGCAAGCTCCTATTGGCCCATGTGACGGACACATGGCGGAACCTGATTGGTCCACTTGTCAGATGGTGATTGGTGGGGAAAAATCCCCTAATCATTTGCCCCTCACAGGTGGCACGTGACTGGTCGCATGTTACCTGTGACAGGTATCGCCCTGTAACAGGCGACGGCCTGCTACAGGTGTCACTCGGCGAGAGGCCGAGAGATTCTCCCGCCAAAATTTTGAATTCTGGAAGTGACCCTTCGCCTTCTCACTTCGCCTATATAAAGGAGTGTTGACTTCGGTCATTTTCACACTTGAAAACTTTGTGAGAGAACATTCGGACCCCTGAACTTGCTCTGACATTTTGGACCCTTTCTGCCTACCGCCTGCTCTGACAAGCCGACTGCAAAGGATTTTCTGAATTTCATCAATCGTCACTCGTTCAGGTAACCGTCGGTTCTCTTACTCTTAATTTTCTCTTTACTTTATTCTTTTTTTTTGAAATGGCACCACGGAAGCACACGACACGACCTAGGTTAGTGATCAGCCGGTCACCGGGGACGGCTGAATCTAGGACTAGGAGTGCCACCTGCCCTTTTCTGGACCTATCTTTGCCCTTTATACAAAGTCCGACTGTATCTGTGTCTATGCAGAGCATGGTGGCCAGAACAAAAAAGACTGCCAGGATCTCAAACTCAGACGGCTCCTCCCACAGGGTGCCGATTAGTGAAACATCTGACCAGGCGCCAGATGTGGAAGTGAAACAAAGCGGCTTGAAAGCCGGCAGTTCTGAGGGAGGAGTCAAAGTGACCCCTTCCCATTTTACAGTTGACAATTCTACATTCTCTCCTGCTCTTTTTAAAGGAGAGGAGGCGGGCCCCTTCGGGAGAGGGGAGGAGTCGTCCTCTTCGGACTCGTCAGAGGACGATTCCGAGTCTAGCTCTTCTGGCCATGCTTCTCTGGACACAGAAGAGAAAAACAGTCGCCTACAAGAGGCGAGGCTTTCTCGCGCAGTTGAGAAGGGGGACGATTGGGCGGAGCCATCCGCCTCTCACCGAGAGCAAAATACCCCCTACTACTGCACGGTACCTCGGGGCCGGATCACAGCCATGCAAGAGAAAGTGGAGAGCTTTATCGCAAACCACACAATGGGCCCCGGCTTTTTAGTGTTCGTGTCGGATCCAGAAGACACAGTCGTCTGGCCGGCTGGTACCAGTTATGATGGCGCCTGCTTTGGCTGCTACGAGGCGGCCATCAAGGCTGGGCTGCGCTTCCCACTACATCCGGCTGTTCAGCGGATCTTGGATGGGTATGAGTTGGGGTTATGGCAGTTAGCCCCGAACTCCTGGGTCAACGTACTCGCTATGTGGCCGGGTGCGAACTGCACGGGGTGGAG